TGGAATGCGTTCCCTAGGGAGGTGGTGGAGGCTCCTTCCTTGGAGATTTTTAAGGCCCGGCTTGACAAAGCCCTGGCTGGGATGATTTAGTTGGGAATTGGTCCTGCTTTGAGCAGGGGGTTGGACCAGATGACCTCTTGAGGTCCCTTCCAACCCTGATATTCTATGATTCTATGATCAAGTTCAGGATTCCCCATCAGGTCTAGGTCACTTGCACCAGCACTTTGGACCAAACTGTGCTGGTTGTAGGTCCAGAACTGAGCTCGATGTGTAGGTTTGGGACAAGTGGTCTGTGAGGGAGACACAAGTACGTATGGCAGAACTGATGCCTAAAATCATTGTTGTCATTTCCTCCCATGACGCTCATGGCATACACCCAGAGAAGTGTGTATGCTACTACATACACACTTCTGTCCTTCCCTTTCATAGTGTTTCCTTATTCCACAATAGGGCTCACTACATACAGAGACCCAGCCTGGTAATTATCTTACGCTAAAAGTAACAAAGTTTGAAAATCTCTGTGGTTAGCCCCCACGGTAGGAATGGTATTATTGGTCACACACTTATCCTGTCTTCATTTTAAAAAAACCCACCAAAAACAAACAAGCCACAAATTTTATTTTACCTGGAAATTTACCCTTTTATTCATGAATAAATTCTGTATGCAATTTGTAAGAAACATGGTGATTTTCTTATTCTTAGAGCTATTCAGGAACCAGAATTTTCATTTCATGGGAAATTCCATGAGTTCAAATTTTTGTTTTCATCCCAATTCTGACTTTCCAAAAATATATTTTTAAATTTTATTTTGAGATTTTATTTCAGTTTTTATGACTTTTTATGTTCATTTTAAATTTTATTTTCTATTTTATTTTATTTTTATATTATAGTTCATTTTGTATTATTTTATAAAATATACAGTAATTAGTTTTTCCCTAAACAAAAATTGTGTAGAAATTTCCCATGGAACATTTTGATCTTGACAATTTGGCATTTTCTGATGGGAAAACATTCCATTAGCAAATGATTGATCAGCTCTATATTTTCTTCTCTTTTTTTGGTTAAAAAATATGAATTCTCTCTATCTTTTTGTTTGTGGATGTCCTATCTGCCATTATATTCTGTCTGTCAAGTAAGGACCCGATCCTGCATACAGGTATGCACAAAGTTAATTTTACACCTGGAAATAATTGTGTTGAGTCTGAGCCTTCTTTTGCTGTGGTAAAAGATAAAATTCCCACTGACTCAAAGGATTGGACCCTTTGATTTCAATGGGATTTGGACATCTAACTCCTTTAGTCTTTTTCAACCCTTATAGCCAATGTCCCAACCCCTAAAACTGAGTGCAGCAGCAGCAGCAGATATTAGCTCTGCTTCACCCACATCATCTCACTAACCCTCCCAGTGCCCCAGTGAGGTGGGTGCTGCCATTAACAGTACAATCTTCAGAAGGTCCTAATTACTAAGGTTTAGCAGCCTAAATCTCATTGAAAGTCAAGGGGTCTTAGGCTCCTAAGTGACTTTTAAAATTTGCTCTACTGTTTTTCAGAATGTTACCCTTCGTTTAAGGCCTCCTGCTCAGACATTTCTGAAAAGAGCAAATAGGGATTGTTGCTCAGATAAAATGCAGGTGCAACAAGGTGCTTTACACATTTAGGTTGGAATTTTCAAAGGGGGGTAATATATACAATAAACACCCCACGCCCATTGAATTGCTAGAAACCAGAGATTACAAACGTGCAAATAGTTTCTTCACCTATCCCTGAAAAGTTTCAGGGATCTTCAGTGCCATGGCAATTATACAAATTAGATAATCTTGTACCAGAGCTATAGGCCTCTTGTTGGTCTATTGGAGTGAATGATAACCAACAGAACATTGCTGATTACTCTCCTCTATAGGATTGGTTATATATTCACACTAGCCAGTTCACGGTCCTATTTGGGTACAGTTAATATGATCATTTCATTTCTGTGTATTATAGGATATTCTGCAATTTGATTCAAAAACTGGGCTTTCTCAGCATGAAGTTTTTGACATACTGTCACATCTTCCCCTGAAGGAAAGGTTTGTTCCAGCCTTTATGGAAGAATACAAATATCCACTTATTTCTGAAGGCAAAACAAACTAGAAGATTGTTATTCCAAGTCCTGTCCTAGTGTAATGTGCTCACTAAACATGTAATAAGGTGTCAGTCCAGTTTATCACCTGTGTGAATAATTTTGTGTTACCAAAGCTTTATTTTTCATAATGCCCAATGTTGAATATTGTGGCCCACATAACTGCATTTAAGGGGAAAAAAACAGGTTTCTTTTTTTTTTTGCTTTGCTTTTAATTAATCTCTGACAAAAATATTGCAGATAGGGATGAAAACCCATTGCCTAACTCTTTGAAGGATACAGATCTAAACTGAAAATTGGCTATAATACAGGGATAGACCTGGATCTTCACACGCTTTGGCTTAAATATTTAATTCCGAGTTTATCGACTCCTAATCACTTAATATTTTTTTTACTGAAATCACAGGTTTAATATTTATTACTGTCCATTTGTCATTCCCTATGATCCGCTGTCATCTAGAGATCATTAGAAAGGATACATAAAACATTGGCCTTATTAAGCTTGGCTTCTGCATAGTGCCCATTATACACCATAGCCACACCTTTACCAGACTTCACCCTTTTTTTTAAAAAAAATGGAGATATCCTATCTCCTAGAACTGGAAGGGACCTTGAAAGGTCATGGAGTCCAGCCCCCTACCTTCACTAGCAGGACCAAGCAATGATTTTTGCCCCAGATCCCTAAGTGGCCCCCTCAAAGATTGAACTCACAACCCTGGGTTTAGCAGGCCAATGCTCAAACCACTGAGCTATCCCTGCCCCACCCTCTGTTACCCCTAGTGCCATTACACAATAAAGCCGCCCCTTTCCCATCCCTCCCCCTCTGCTGCCCCCAGTGCAGAGTTCAGCACTGGCAGCTAGGGTACATTCTTGCTTGTGCAGCTGGCGCTGAAGCTGGTACTGTGGTTTCTTCACTTCTATTCTGAGTGAGCTAGCTAGGGTACAGCAACAGCGGCTACGTCTACAGGAGCTGCCATTCACCGCCCCGGCTGCAGTGTAGATGCCCCCCAAGTGTCTAGCTGTGAATTATTCACTCTGGTCTCTCTTTCCGTCAGTTGGCCGCTTTTGACTTGGCCAATCAGCGTAGATTATCAGCATTCCATTGAAATGCAACAGACAGTTTCCTTGGATTATCAGCGTTCTTTTCAAGGCCATGAATGTGCTGATGTATTTTCACATGGACTCACGCTAGGTCTCCACACAGATTTTGCACCAGTATAACTATTCTGGTTAGTGGTGTGACACTGTTATGGAAATCATTATACCGGTACAACCTCTAGTGTGGACACAGTTTACCAATATAGAAGTCCCTTATACTGTTATAGCTTATTCCCCTTCCTGTATGGGAATGAACTATACTGAAATAAGCACTTTTACATCACTATAATTGCATCCAGTCAGAGTACATGAATGGCCCCCTCACAGTGCCCCCTGAAGGCCTGAGGGCAGCCCAGAACACGGCCCCTCACCTCAGTTTGCCATCTTCATTCCCCCAAATAAACTCCACATGTGTTTTTTCCAGTCCAATCAAAATCAGCCCCATATAGGTTTCATTTATTAACTTAAAGTTCAAAACTAAACCCAGAAGTCTTCTCTCCAACTGCATACATCCAAACTCCCCATCTGATCTGAGTCCTTCCTGCCTTAGCAGGCTATTCTCA